CTCCCTAAAACAAGGTTCACTGAATTGTTAAGAACACAAATCTGAAACAAAATTTATTCTAAGAATCATCCATTTCATCATAGTAACCAGACAATACACTCTGTTCACATGTAAACTTCGAGTAAACATCAACTTCAAATTCTAATTTCAAAAACTCAAATCAATATTTGAAGATAAGCTCCTGAATTCTTCATATCCAAAAGCACACAAAGGAATTGAGATAACACAAAGACACACCTCGACTTCTGACCAATCAGCGGATCCACCGGAACTACTCTGAGATTGTTTAACAGTCTCTGTCAATAACCTGAAAATTCGTATTTGATTCCACAACAGTGAGCTTAAAGATGAAGGTAGTTACGCAAATCGGTAAAAACAACAGTGGCTTTACCTCTCAATCTCGCCGTAGAGTTGAATTCCGGTAGATTGAGTCCGATCTCTGTCATTTTCTTCGTAGCTACAAAGGACTCTTCGTGAGACACGCTCTTTGCGGAAACTTAACATTGAAGATAGAGACGGGCGATTGTGAGAAAAGCTAAAGAATCGCCGGCGGGGAGAGAAAGACGGTGGCGCCCAGAGGGAACACGTAGCCATAGCTCGGAGCCGGAGGAGATTTTGGGTATTTTGAGGTTCGTCGTCGAGAGTGTTTATATTCCGTTCTGATTTTGAAATCGGAGTCGTGTACGCATTAGACTTCTATGACTGTAACAGCATCTTGTTTCGCAGCTAAACGCAAACATTGTGATCAGACCAAAATTTAATTGGAAATTGTGTAAAAGAAAAATGGGCTTCAATTATACTTAATGGGCCACATTTGCTTTCATGATGATGAAGAGTGTCATCCTCTCATGAAGGATTTGTGCAAATGAAGTATGTTTTTTTCCAAATAAAATGAAACGTGGAACCGAGAGAGAAATGAACTAATTCATTATTTTGTTTTCACCAAAAAGTTAAGTATGTTTAGATGCGATGCCATTGTCACTGAAAGTAAGTGTTGAAAAGTTCAAAGAGTTGACCATCAAAATAATTAGAACAGAGAAAAAGCACTATAAAATAACAAGACTGAGTTAACAAGACTGAGTTTTGGTCTCTTGGGAGGTGTCTCTGTCTCGTGTCTCTCTAACCGCGTTGATTTGCCGTCTTAAAAACACAACTCCTCAAACATAAAACATTCACACGCCATGAGAACTCTTCTTCAATGGCATTTAGCATTTCAATCTCTCGTTGCTCCTTTCACTTTGTGTCTTTCCTTCTTCTTCTTCTATCTTCCTTCTCTTTTGTTTGCTTTTCCCTCTCCACTGTCTCCATCTCCCACATCTCTAATCAGACTCTTGTATGTGCTCTCACCAACCACTCTTATCTCCAATGTTCCAGTTTCCCTTTAAATTCTATTCGATTCTCTTTAACCGATAACCTCCGAAATCGTAGGTTTTCCGGGGTTGTCTCCGGGAATGGGTTCGTGTGCGGGTTGAGAACGGTGCTGGATTCCAACATTTCCACACTTCTTTGTTGGAGATTTTCTGTTAACGGAACCAGTTTGTTGCACAAAAGAATCTACCACGGTCCTGAGCTAGAAGAGTTAGAAGCCGGAAATTCCCGCATTTGTGGAGTTGAGAGAGTCTCAAGGAGCCTCCGTTGCTGGCAACCGTTCTATCTACCACGGTCGGATAACTACAGTTCCATTGCCTTGGGAGATAACTTTTTCTGTGGGCTATCTCAGCCACCTGGAAGGATCAGCTGTGAAGGAGAAGGTATATCCAAGGTACCGAGTGGAGACCGCTACATCGCCATCGCGGCTGGATCAAGACAAGCGTGCGCGATCACGGTTGACAATGATGTCGAGTGCTGGGGACAAACGGAGTCGTTGCCACATGAAAAGTTTTTAGCATTGGCAGTTGGGGAAAACCGTAGCTGCGGTATTAGATGGTCTAATGGAACTGTGGTGTGTTGGGGAAACAACAAAAATTTCAGTTTGCCTCAAAGTCTTAAGGACATTCATTTCACATCAATATATGCTAAAGGGCAAATCTTTTGCGGTGTTGCCACAAAAAACTACACTCTATATTGCTGGGGAAATGAGAATTTTAAATCGGGTGTTTTCGCTCCGTTCCAAGGCCTAATTTCTCAAGTGGTAATGCCAGGACCGTGTAGAAGAGAATGCCCTTACCGTCCATTGTCAGGTTCACAGTCATTATGCGGCAATGAATTGATGATTTGTGATTTGAAAAAAGAGGATGGAGAATTTCCAGATACAAAGGCACAAAACTCTATGAACAAAACTTGGAGCAGAAGAAACATTGCGTTTCTGGTGGTTGGATGTGGTGGAACGTTTTCTTTTTTTTTTTGTATGAATGTAAAATTTATTCACCAAAAAAAGACGGTTTTACAATAAATGCAACATCAAGCTGAAAAAATCTGAGTTTTTTAGAGGGATTATAAGGAAGGGAAAACTAGCGACTATGGGTTTGGAACCAATATCGCAGTCCGCCTTCATAAGTGGGTGAGCCCGTCGTAATTAAGGTGCTCAACCGGTTACGAACGTTCTTGTCGATCAGTTTTGCTAGGATGGATGCTGGGGTTGGTGACTCGCCGTGTCGTCTCCCATTCCGTTCTCGCCATAGACTGTGGATAGATATCTGAAACACATATCTCAAAACAAACAAATGTAGCTTTGAGGTAGATGGAGCCGTGAGTAAAGGAAGCAGAGTTTCCCATCGTGTTGTGTAGTGTTGCCCAAGCATGTCTCGTGTGAGGGCTGACCAGACGTGAGACGAATACGGACAGGAGAAAAAGAGGTGTTCTCTTGTTTCTATGTTCCCATCACACAAATTACAAGCACCATTTGCTGCAGCATTCCACTGTAACAGTCTATCTCCCGTAGCTAAACGATTACGAATGGCGATCCAAGTGATGAATGAGTACTTAGGCGTTGAGTGGGGGAACCATACACCCTTATACCATTCACACACCGGATTAGTGTCTCGTATCGTATACCAAGTGTCCTTTGAACTGAACGTTCCCTTGAAAGAGCCATTGTTCCTTTTCCATAGTGAAATATCCTTGCCCGCTAGAGAATGTGATCGGAGGGAATCCAACTCATCCTCAACTCGGTTTAACATTTCATATCGGTGTCTGCGTCGGCGGTGATTTGAGAGGGCTGCAGCAACTGAGCAGTTCGTGGCAATACCCATATCGATACATCCCCGGGGACCTAAAACATCAGCCAATCTCCCAAGAGAACACCAATTATCATGCCAAAAGGAAGTAGCCAGACCTGTAGAAGAGAATGCCCTTACCGTCCATTGTCAGGTTCACAGTCATTATGCGGCAATGAATTGATGATTTGTGATTTGAAAAAAGAGGATGGAGAATTTCCAGATACAAAGGCACAAAACTCTATGAACAAAACTTGGAGCAGAAGAAACATTGCGTTTCTGGTGGTTGGATGTGGTGGAACGTTTTCTTTGCTCCTTGTCATCAGTTTCTTGATCTTTAAAAGCCACTCTCGATGCCGTGTCCATGACTCTGGACGTCTTGATGATACTAGGACAATAGACATGCCCAAGCTCGAGAAGAGGCTGAGCAGTCTAGTAAGTCTAGGGAACACTGGGCAGCTCATGGAGTTCTCAATTGACGAGCTGGCTCTAGCCACAGATGGTTTCTCTGTCAGGTTTCAGCTCGGGATAGGCAGCTTCGGCTCTGTTTACCAAGGTGTTTTATCGGACGGACGTCACGTGGCCATCAAACGAGCTGAGCTAACAAACCCTACATTGTCCGGGACCACAATGAGAAACCGACGAGCAGACAAGGATTCAGCGTTCGTGAACGAGCTAGAGTCTATGTCGCGACTCAACCACAAAAATCTTGTTCGACTTCTTGGTTTCTACGAGGATGAAGAAGAGAGGGTTTTGGTGTACGAGTACATGAAAAATGGATCTCTCGCCGATCACCTTCATAACCCTCAATTTGACCCTCTTACGTGGCAAACACGCTTAATGATCGCGCTTGATGCCGCTCGTGGGATCCAATACCTCCATGAGTTTGTCGTGCCTCCGGTGATTCATCGTGATATAAAGTCGTCAAACATACTTTTGGACGCCACATGGACAGCCAAAGTTTCGGATTTTGGCCTCTCTCAGATGGGTCCAACAGAAGAAGATGACGTGTCGCACCTCTCCTTACACGCCGCCGGTACGTTGGGCTACATCGACCCGGAGTACTACAAGTTTCAACAGCTCACAACTAAGAGTGATGTTTACAGCTTCGGCGTCGTATTGCTGGAGTTACTGTCCGGTCACAAAGCGATACACAAGAACGAAGACGAAAACCCGAGAAACGTAGTGGAATATGTTGTACCATACATTTTGCTGGATGATGTTCATAGAGTACTTGACCAGAGGATTCCACCACCAACGCCATACGAAATCGAGGCGGTGGCTCATGTCGGATACTTGGCAGCAGAGTGTTTGATGCCGTGTAGCCGGAAAAGGCCATCAATGGCGGAGGTAGTGAGTAAACTTGAGAGTGCTTTGGCCGCTTGTTTGACGGCTCCAAAGACGGAGACCGTATCTCGATCAAACACTTATTAGCCACGTTTAGCTTAATCTTTTTGGTCAACCGTAATTGTATTTATTTTTTAGGGATTAGGAATTTAATTCATTGGTACAAAATTTTAATATTTTCTTCAACGAAAACCTGGGCACAATCCGATTTCTTTTTGTTGCTTGATGTGAAAAGTTCAAAGCAAAAGCCAATGAGTTTCGCTGCTTCTTTTTGTACGCATTACATAAGATTCCAAGTCAATGATTTGAAGACAAGAAATGTTAAAGCTTACCAACTTATATTAAACTCCATGGGAAAAGTCTAAAAGTCGTCTAATATTAGTTGCTAGGAAAAAGAGTTGGTGAATAATTGGTTTACAATGGTCAAATTGAATTTAGACGCCAATGGTCAAAATTTGACTGATACGAAAAAACTAAAGAAATTTTAAAGGTCCTAAATCACTTGGTAACTCAGTTCTATTCTTTATGATTGCGACAAGAGAACACAATGGGTTATTTTTAGTAAATCTACAGATTATATAAGAAGGTCTGCATATTTCTGAGGTTTGAGGTAGACATACATTGTCTTAATGGCAATAAAATGACCCGTTATTGCGATACAAGTGATATCAATCGAGTGTGATAAATGCAAGAAAGGATATTTACCGCTGGTTAGGTCCTTGCCAAGAATGATTCAACTTAAAAGTGAACTTGAAGCAGTGTTCCTCTGTTGAAGCAATTTGGACACAGTAGTGTCGATCTGGGCAAGCACTTCCTCAGGTTTGTACCAAGAATGATTCAACTTAAAAGTGAACTTGGAGCGGTGTTCCTCTGTTGAAGCAATTCGGACAGAGAAGAATCGATTTGGGCAAACACTTCTTGTTTTGAACGGTTTCCCTCAACCTGGATAATAATAGTAAATGAGGTGCCATCTTACTTCATGAAAATCATTAAAGAAGAGATAGCAAAACCAAAATAGAAAGAGTGTGACTGAAATCCCATGCCTTAATAGTAATATCGTCGTACATAGAAAGCACATCTCTCACATTTTGGTTATGAGTTTTCAGCCGCAGTTTTGCCTACAGGGTAAGAGAAAAAAATTCAGAGACAGAATGGACTAAGAGTGAATTTCATATGTGAGAAATAATGGGCAACTTTCAACAGACAGAAAAATATTGTATAAGAAATATTGATTTACCTTCTCTTCGGTATCATCAAAACGTTGGGTGAGTCTAGCAGCAATCTCTTCTGTCTCTGGAGGAGAATACTTCAAGTGGTAGATCTTTCCTGTGACAGGATCCAATCGACGCCCAACAACTCTTTCAATAAGTATATCTTCAGGAACCTATTCAAAAGCAGAGTAGGCTTAAATCAAATGAGCACATCTCCATTCATAGGATAAAGAGTCAAAGCAGTGTGCTAAATCTAGTTAAAACATCTTACACAAAAGATAAATATAGCTAATGGACCTAGTTTATTATCAGTTGTCTGGATTGTAACTCTAAGACTGATTTACCAGAATTTAACTTTTAGCAAAATGTTGCAGAATCTATGGTCCAAAGAAGTAAGATTTTATCCATTGCATTGAACTCACAAATATAGGTAAAATCTAGCAAGTTATAGAGAAAGCCTTCAGATTAGAGATAAGGAACATTAAAAATAAGAACAGTGCTTACTTCCAGGACAATGAATAGATCAGGCTGGAATCCAAATCCCCTGAGAGCTGTTGCCTGTGATGCGCTCCTTGGATATCCATCCAAAAGCCACCCATTTTGCTCTGAATCTGTCTGCGATAAACGATCTTTTACCATCATTACAACTATTTCATCAGGGACCAATTGTCCTTTCTCCATATGTTCTTTTGCCCTTCTTCCATTTTCACTTCCAGAAGCGATTTCAGCCCTCAGCAAATCTCCAGCAGAGATATGCACCAAACCATACTGCATACCGACAAAAGAGGAAAATTTCAATCTGCATCTGTTTCATGAAGTAAAAAGAGAACTTAAAAAGCATGAAGTCTTCCATGGAAACAAAAGTAGAAGGGAGTAGCAAGTTCCACAGAAGCACTGCTTTGAGTACAACTTTCGTTACCTATTCATTCAACAACAACCTTTGCTTTTAAGTCTTAACTAAACATCGGACACATTACAGCAAAGAGGTAGTAATTTATGTAATAATTAACCGTCATGAAGAAAGCATGAAGTCTTCCATTGAAACAGAGCCTAAAAATTAGAAGTAAAAACGAGTAGCAAGTTCCAGAAACACCGCTTTTTTCATCACGAACACGATTTTCCTACTTATTCAACAACCTAAACTTCTAGTCTCAACTAAACACCAGACACATTACTAAACCCAAAAGTACGACTAAACACCTGACACATTATTATCGAAAGCAAGATTTTCCTTACTTATTCAAGAACCTAAGCTTTAGTTTAGCATGTTAACCTCTTTATAAAGACTATTAAATCGCAGTCATCATCACATAATAGAGCCAATAACTAGTTTAATGCTTAAAATCACTCCTAGAGAAACCCCTGAATCAGCTCAGGTAATGCTCTATAAGTGGCCAAGTTAAGGTTCATTGACAAAATCTTTCAAAGTATTTTCAAATTGATAGTAAAATGAATTGGATTGATGAGATTAGTATCCAAAAAAAAAGATGAAGAAGCTTACTTTGTGAGTAATCAGCTCGCATTGTGTACCTTTACCAGAAGCAGGAGCTCCTGAAATCATAATTTTGAGAGGCTCCGATTTTTCAGCCGCCACGATCTATATTCCTTCCACACACAAAAAAAAATATAAATTAACAGATCGCAAATGGTATATTAAAAAATTGCAGCTCAAAACAATCATTCACCTGGAATTTGGGGGCGATAATCGACGGAGATCTCGAAACACGTCGGAGACGGTAAAAAGAGTGTACGGAATCTCCGGAAAATGAGAAAGACGACCGTGAAGCTGGTGACGGAGAGGCACGAGGCCGGTATAAAGTCACCGGCGGCGGAGAAATAGAATTCACACAGCCCGTCATGTCTCTCTCTCAATCTCTCTTTCTCTCTCAGAAAGCATGTGGTGGTGGATACAGAGGACTTAGAGGAGGAATTAGTGTTCCGATACTTTTAGAGGCCCAAACCTAAATGGACTCTCACTCATGACTCATGACATGTCTAACTTTATGAAACGAATGTGTTTGTTTATATATAAAAATGGTTGTAGAAGTCGTTGGATCAAATGGTTGATGAAAAAAAAAAAACAAAAAAAAGTCGTTGGATCAAATGGTTGGGTGCTTCGTAGATGGCTAAGATGTTGTGGGTTCAATTCCGGGAAAAGGGGATTTTTATACCCGTATTATCTGTACCGTGTTACAAAAGTCAAAGAAATCAGGCTGAGGCTGCGCAGCCGTGAGATGTTTATAATTTTTCATGTGGAGCCCACCGTCATTATGCGTGCATAGTAACTTATCTTTTTCTCTATAAATAGAACGTTCATTGTAAAATCACGATTGATACTTTAACAATAAGAAGTTATAAGAAATCTCTCTCCTCCTCTCATCTCTTTATTATCAATATCCCGATCCTTCTGCGGGTATAAATTCTTTCTCCATTATTTATTTATATACACCATAAAATAAATTAATTATTTATAACACGTTATCAGCACGATCACTCTATGATCGCTGGAAAAAAATACGGTATTATACCGGGAGGTATGTCGCCTCGTTAAAAAAAAATATGAGAAAAAAAAAGAAAAGAGAAAAAAAAAGAGAAAAGAAAATTATATAAATAAATAAAAGAAACTATACATGTATATATATGTTACTTCATGCATCCTAATTAATAATTTTCTATCAATGGTTGGCTGAGCCACCTGAAATTTTATTTACTGCTTTAAATATTTATTTCTGCTACCGGTCGGCTGAGCCGCCTTAATTTTATGCACTGCTTTAAATATTTATTTCTGCTACCGGTCAGCTGAGCCGCCACATATTTATTTACTGTTTCTATGTGAATGACTCCGTGACCATAATATCACCGTGAATTATTTGTTTATATTATGATTATTATACAAGAAGGTTTATTCATCTGTATAAATATTTTTATCTGAATCGATAATTTTTGTTTGATTGATCTCTAATTTTTCAGATTAATTTTTGTTTAAATCTTTTTCCGCCAACGGTCTCAAAGAAAAATTTCAAAATTTTTCAAAAATTTCAACTTTTTCCAACGGCTAGGAATAGTATTTTTCAATCTATAAATACATTTATTTTCTCATTCATTTCATCAAAATTTTTTTTTTTCATTTCTCTAAAAACTCTCTCCGAAAAAAAGAAGAAGAATTTTGAAGTTTTGAAGTTTTGAAGAATGTTTCGATTATTTTTAATATTTGTTTTTGGAATCATTATTATGTGTATCTATAATCTTTGCGTTGTAGATTTTACTCCGCAAGAATTTCGTTTGACTATTAGTTTACTTGTTTGTACACTTTTTATTTTTGTAATCGCTTCCATTATTAATATAAACGGTTCATTTTAAATATGTTTTAAAATAAATTAAATAAAGATTTCTAATAATATTCCATGTTTTTATTTTAGAAAAACAAATGGCAAACATCGAGAAACTCAAGTTTCCGGCTCTACAAATAAGTGGAGCAAATTATATAGCATGGACAACCAATATAGAGCTTCATCTAGAAATGGAAAAAATATCTGAGACAATAAAAGAAAAAAATACTTCGTCTTCTCCGGAAAAGGCGAAATCAATTGTTTTTCTCAGAAAACATCTAGATGATAATCTGACGCATGATTATGCGCAGACAAGAGATCCTGCGGAGCTGTGGAAAGCACTAAAAAATCGGTTTGATAACCAAAAAGCAATAACGCTTCCACATGCCATGGATGAATGGAATTCTTTACGATTCCAAGATTTTGAAAAGGTGGAGCATTATAACTCCGCAATGCTGAGAATAGTGGCACAATTAGAATATTGTGGGAAGCCGGTTAGCGAAGCAGAAATGCTCAATAAAACTTTCCTCACTTTCCACAAAAACCACTATGTGTTGCAAGAGCAATACAGAAATTGCGGATACGAAAGATTTTCTGAGCTAATTGTGACGCTCATGCTTGCGGAAAATAATAATGAGCTTCTTATTAAAAATCATAATGCTAGACCCACTGGAGCCAAAGCATTTCCTGAAGTAAATGCAACAAATGCATCTGATATGGAAAATACAGAGCGAGGCAATCAAATCTATCGAGGTCATGGTCAAGGTCGTGGCCGTGGTCGTGGTCGTGGTCGCAGATTTAATTGGGGTCGTGGAAAACCGAATAACCACCAAAACAACAAACCAAATACTTGGGTCCGACCTGAGCAAAATCTGAAAGGGAAAGAATCCCAAGGAAGTACCAGCCAAAAACGTGATAACATCTGTTATAGATGTGGATCAAAAGGGCATTGGGCTCATGTCTGTCGAACCCCTGAACATCTTTGTAAATTATACAAAGAATCTCTAAAAGGAAAAGGGAAAGAAGTGAATTTCACAGAACACTTCGAGGGTACGACACACCTTGACGCTTCTGACTTCTTTGATGATTTGGATGAAACCGCTTTTACTGAAAAGTGAAATGCTATATAGTGAGACTGCTGAAATAGTCTCCACTTATGCCATATATGTATAATATTATGTTTCTCGTTATTTTGAATAATGTTGTTTTAACAACAATTTAATGTATAATTATTGTGTGTTTCCCTTTTATGAATGAAATTTACTTTCTTTTTATTGATGTTTATCTTAATCACAGAAATGGATGAGGATTCAAACAAATCAAAAGCAAGGAAAAATATCAAAGAAATTTGTATACCAAATAGTGGAACAACACACACTATTCTGAGACATAAGAGATTTTTCTCTGAATTAAAACCGACAAAAGTTATTGTCAATACAATATCGGGTCCTACGGACTTGATTGAAGGAAGTGGCAAAGCGAATTTTATATTGCCTAATGGAACAAAGTTTTCCATAAATAATGCCTTATATTCTCCGAATTCTAAGAGGAATTTGTTGAGTTTCAAAGACATATACCTTCAAGGATATGAAACTCAGTCTGCAACTGAGGATGGAAAGAAGTATATGTATATAACTTCTAATAAATCTGGAAAAAGACATGTCGTGGAAAGATTTCCAGAACTTCCTTCTGGTTTGCATCATACCTATATAGATGCCATAGAATCACATCTTGTGATCAAAAGAAATCCAGAAGATTTCGTATTATGGCATGATCGTCTTGGTCACCTAGGCACCACAATGATGCGAAAAATCATAGAGAGCTCACATGGTCACTCATTGAAAAATTATGAGTTGAATCATGGAAATAAAATGACATGTGCAGCGTGTTCTCTTGGAAAGTTGATCATAAGGCCATCGCCAACCAAAATTGATAAAGAATCACCAAAGTTCCTTGAACGAATTCAAGGCGATATTTGTGGACCGATACATCCACCATGTGGACCATTCCACTATTTTATGGTAATGATTGACGCATCTAGCAGATGGTCACATGTTTGTCTATTGTCATCTCGAAATTTGGCATTTGCGAGATTTATAACTCAGATAATCAAATTAAGAGCTCAGTTCTCTGATTATTCCATTAAGAGAGTTAGACTAGACAACGCTGGTGAATTCACATCCCAAGCATTCAATGATTATTGTATGGTAACGGGAATTGAAGTTGAACATTCTGTACCTCATGTTCATACACAAAATGGCTTGGCGGAATCATTAATTAAACGTCTGCAATTGATTGCAAGACCATTGATCATGAGATCAAAACTTCCAACCTCTGTATGGGGACATGCCATTTTGCATGCAGAAGCACTCATTCGGATAAGACCAAGTGCATACCATAAATACTCTCCACTATAGTTAGCATTTGGTCGAGAACCAAATATATCTCATCTAAGAATTTTTGGTTGTGCAGTGTATGTGCCTATAACACCACCACAACGTACAAAGATGGGACCACAAAGAAGGTTGGGAATATATATTGGCTGTGATTCTCCATTAATTATAAGATACCTAGAACCGCAGACTAGTGATGTCTTTACGGCACGATTTGCCGATTGTCACTTTGATGAGAAAGTATTCCCGGTTCTAGGGGGAGAAAATAAGCAAGTAGGAAAAGAAATTAAATGGTGTGTACCATCCCTGTTACACCTTGATCCTCCTACAAAAAGTCAGAAATAGAAGTTCGACGAATTGTGCATTTGCAAAGTATAGCAAATCAACTTCCCGATGCTTTTGCAGATACCAAAACAGTAACTAAATCATATATACCAGCTGCAAATGTTCCTGCTCGAATTGAAATACCACAAGAAAGTGGAAGAGCAGATGATACACGTGAGTCTAAAACACGCTTGAAACGTGGTAGACCAGTTGGTGCTAAGGATAAAAATCCTAGAAAACGAAAGGAAGTTGAAAAGCATGATATTCCCAAAATAGCAGAAAGCATTTTGGAAGAAACGAATCATGAGTCTAATGACAATGATGAGCATCATGAGCATGAAGGAAATCATGAGATTTCTATCAACTATATCCATAATGGAAAGATCTGGGATCGAAATAAAATGGATGATGTTAATGACGTTTTCTCATACCTTTTGTCAAAGGAAATTGATGAGGAAAACGAGAATCCAGAACCAAAGTCGGTATATGAATGTCAAAAGAGACATGACTGGATAAAATGGAAAGATGCAATACAAGTCGAACTTGATTCGCTCAATAAGCGAAATTTATTCGGACCTATTGTACTCACACCTGAAGATGTGAGACCGGTTGGATACAAATGGGTTTTCCTTAGAAAACGAAATGAGGAAAATGAAATTATGAGATACAAGGCTCGTCTCGTAGCTCAAGGATTTTCTCAAAGACCCGGGATTGATTATGAGGAAACATATTCCCCCGTTATGGATGCAATAACGTTTAGATTCTTGATGAGTCTAGCGGCTGATGAAAATTTAGAAATGCGTCTCATGGATGTTGTTACAGCATATTTGTATGGATCATTAGATACAAATATCTATATGAGAGTTCCCGACGGGTTTAATATGCCAGAATTATTGAAATCTAAACCCAAAGAGTTATGTGCAATAAAGTTGC